GGGGGGGGGGGGGGGTGTAGTTTTTCTTTTCCACTTTATTTTACATTGCAAGATGTTTTTCAACATTTTACTTGAATTCTTAGAGAATAATTCATGAAGCTTGATGAAAAAAAAAATCAGGCATGTTTAGGGGACTGATATTTATGAGTGTGTGCAATTTGGTGCAGATCCAAATAAAAATCTGGATCTAGTGAATTTGAATGTGGTTTCATAAAGAGATTGGCGGAGGTATGCGCACTACTAAGTGCCACTCTGGTAATGATAATGAGATGTAATCAATCATTTTAAAAAAGGAGATTCACTGCAGAGGAATGAAGTTTGCTTCATAAGCTGTTGCTTACGTCTTTATTCTTCTTCTGTTGGAAAACAGAGGAACAGGTTATTAGCACCATTGAATGTCATAAAATGTTAAGAAAAAAAAACCAGTTGCTGATTGGTATCATATGATCTGATCCTAATAGTGATGTTAAGTTTGATTTGTGATATAACCATTCTTCAAAAGCTTGGAAATACTCATTTAAATGGTTTTAATCCCGTTATAAGTGACAGGATCAATGAATTTCCCTCAGTATTAATAATTTATAACCAAATGATAAATGCATCAAAGCTAAGACTCACTTTATTTGTGCTGACCTCATTCATTTGTAGAATTTGAGCTGACAGAAGGCTTTTACTCAATCACACACAACAGAGCTCTGATGACACATTGCTTTTTGTATGTGTGAGGGATTACACTTGTCACGGTAGAAAATTTTCATACCAGTGTAAGTTCTGCCAGAACACTGCCAAATGCCGGTGATGTTGACCTTGAAATTGCTTCCCTAAGGCCACAATTTAAAAAAATAAAAAAATAGCTGAGACAGAGAAGCCAGGCTTTTACTGTATTTTTCGCGACTCACTATTAAATTTAGCCTGAAACATACATTGCACGCAGCATTTTCAAGAGGATGAAGAAGATTGTGAAAAACACATACTGTCGCTAAGCCGGTAGATACTGTAGGTCAAGTCAAAAAGAAAAAATCCACTTTCCCATGTATGTTGAGCAGAGAGATTGCCGAGAGAACTACTGACATGTGGAGGAAGTTGTATATATTCACTGCAATAATCTAGTTTATCTCTTTCTTCATTAGCCATTAAATAAAAATAATTCCTCTCACTTGCAGGTGATTTATTTTTTGTAGCTATCACTTTATTTCCATAGTGAAGAATGAGTGTTCACAGTGTAGTATTATAGACTGTGCACCACTGGTGATGCTGCCCACTGCTACAAGCCTTGTAAGGAGCAATGTCAAGAGACATTTCTAGTGATACACACACCAGCAAAGCTTAGTTTCAGGTTTGTTCAATATTTACAATTTAAGCACTGTGTACTTAAAGAAACAAAACATCTGGAAGGATTTTCTTGCCTTAACTCTTCTATTCATCCTGCTTCTCTGCAGCAAAATTTGAGGAGTCATTTAACAGGGGACTTAAAAAAGGGAATGCCAACAATTCAAACAGTTCACATGTTTGAGGTGACTGTTCAGTCCTAAAACCAAAATGTAGAACTGACTATTTAATTTATGATTCCACTGAGATGTAAAATTTGGCACTGCAGCGTAGACGATAAATGGGAGACTTTGCTGACCCAAAAGATTGCTGTGTGAATTCTTGCAGCCAAATGAGGTTAAAAATCTGGTTCATACATTCTCTTATTATAGCAATGTTCCTTTAGTGTGACAACACAAATGTCACAATTTCAAGTCGTTCCTCTGATTCCATACTTTAGATAAAAATAATCAGGCATCCATAATTTTTAACAGTACAGTCCACCTTAAGTATTTGGACAGTTTGTTTTTCATTTTCTGTTCTTTTGCAAATAGAATTTGATAATAATGATAATAGTGTTTTAGTGCAGATCTTTAATTATCAATGGTTTATGGCAGTGCAGAAAGAACTGTGTGGGAGATGTAGCTCTAGAGATTAAATATCTGTGGTTTCATGTTGTAGTTCTAAACATCTGATTAAAACACTGAACCTGGGTTTTAAGTCAGTTGGTATCAATGAGCAGCAGCCGCCGCATTGGTGAAGTCACTGGGAGACATTTACTCATCGTCAACAGTATTTTCTTAAACAGCGTTAAAACTCCTTGACACCATTGATAACCTGTGAATGTAAACCATGCTTGTTCTATAATTTCTGGATAGTGTAGATGAACAGGTGCAAATGAATGTTTTGCACCTTACACCACTCGTGAAACCAGACACCGTCCATGAATAAATAAATGTTTACTTTTTGAAATAAAAGACTCAATGTTTAAATTGAAATACTCCTTGTCGCTACGGAAAATGGAAACTGACCATAGTGGAAAAGCTGAAATGAAAAAACTCGAATTTAAAACTTAAATGTCAGTGTTTGCCATTATAATGGATGTTTGCCTGGATGATTTGTCCCCTGAGGAGTCTGGCTAGCTCTGATGATCCTGTGACCTTTCCAGGAGGCCAACAAGTCAAATTCCTTCCCTGTCCAACAATGGTGCTCGTGACAAGATATACAACTGGACTAAATTCTGATGAAATATGCTGAGCATTGCTGTGGCAAACATAATTCAATTGAACATGAAATCTACCTTTTAAATCTGTAAAAAAAACTGCGAAAGCTTGTTCCGAACAAAGGGATAAAGGGTATCAGGAAAATCAACAAAACACTTGCACAGCCCTACTCAAGACCCATTAAGTGTTGCATATGTTCTATGAATTAGTTGGCATGCTTATCATTTCATTTTTCTACCACTGAACGTGAGCTATTTAAACTGAACACCAAAAATGTTTTGTCTCGACATTATCCACTTCATGTCCCTGTTTACTGAGACATGGTGGTTGTGTGTCGCGTCCAAAGAAAGGTGTATCGGGGCTATGAAAAGGCTTCTTGTTGCTGTATTGGTTTGCTATTAATAGAAGACCAATTTTGCCTCTTTCCATAATATCAGTCATTCTGGCATAACTCTGTTGTGCTTGGTTGCATTTTGAGCACAGTCTCTTGACAAGGCCTTTTATAGCCCTGTGCTGAAGTGGCAAGTTGTGTAATTTGGATATTTCTGAAATTAGAGTATTTGTGTGCCACAAAGCTGTGGAATTTATTCCATCAAAGGTCACTTTTATGAACCTTGAAGCTAACTGCTAACAGCACAGAATTGTGTCCGGTTTTTTTCTGTCCTGAAAATTACAGTGTCAGGTGTCCCCTGTCCATTTTAAGCTCACACATCCCTCTACTTGATTTAGAAAAACAGGTGTTTGTCTCAGTTTGGAGTTAAGTTTGTACTTAACTCTCGGATGCAGATTATTGATTATTCTTTCCAGTTTGCTCTTTGGTACTTAACTCAAATTAAAGCTTGTATATAGACAACCTTATTTGCTCTGATACTGGTTATGTTGTTGTTTTTTAAGACAAAACATTAGTTGTTTACCTGGTAGAGCTGATATTGTTAAATTACCATAAAGTAAAAAAAAATTATTTCATCTGTCTTTTGTTCCTAACGCAGAAGCACAGGCTCAGAGGAGGAAGAGTCATGAGTGCACAAGAGGCACCCAATCCTGGGAAGGAGCCGGCGGACAGTGGGAGCGCAGCCACAGATGGCCCATCACCAACCTTAGCCTCCGCCACCAAGACTACGAGTCCAGCACCCGTCACAGTTAAGAAAGAGCCTGGGACCTCCGAGACGAGCAACGGGAAAGTTGGCGATGCCAACCCTGCTGAGATCTGTGTTGTTATTGGAGGAAATGATGGAGGAGCAAGTGGAGGCGGATCCCGTAGAGCTCCTACCGAGGGTATGTTTGCCCTTGGTACTCCTCCTCCAACGAAGAGCACAGACTCATGCATAGGTGTGTGAATATATGTATGTTGACTGCAGCCGTGCCTGGTCTCCCTTGACCCTGGCCTTGCTTCCTGATCATCAAAACAGGCTGCACAGCATTTTAAAATGACATTTGAAAAAAAATCAGCAGCAGCATCTCCTTTTACAAACAATATTCTGCCCCCTATGAAAATAGTTGACAGCTTGTTGCTGCTGTTGATTTTTTTTTAATGTAATTTTCCAATCCTGTGAGCACAAATTAAATGTCCTTAATCTCTTTTATGGAGAGGTGGCAGCTAAAATCTTCCAGGTATCTAAAAACCTGAGGAATGAAACCAAGATTAAGTGCATGGATAGTGACTGCATCATTGGGGTTAAATGAGAAAATGTTTCTTATAGCTGGTGGCTGGAAGCATTATGTTTTCAGATTTTCTGTCTGTTGTCTGTCCTATTCTTTGATATCTCAAGAATGCCTCGGGGGAGTCTCTTCAAATTTCGTACAAACATTCAGTTTGACCCAAGGATGATAAGAATTTGGTGTTCAAGGGTCATCGTGACCTCACAAACCCCTTTTTTTGCCTTGGGAATGCAATATAGGTACACCTTGAGAAAACCCTTTCAAATTTGGTACAAATGTTCACGTAGAGTCACAGATTAACTGATTAGATTAGGGTGGTCAAAGGTCGTGGTCGTCTCACAAAACCTGGTTTTTGGCCTCTTGAACGTGATATATCAAGTTTACCTTTAGGGAATTTCCTCCCGATTTTGACCGCATGTTGCCTGGGCTCAAAGATGAACTGATTAGATGTCAGTGGTTAAAGGCCACAATGATTAAAAGTCAAAGGTCATGTTGACCTCATAAAGTGTGGAGGGGAAAAAAAAAATGTGTGTAAACTGAAACTGCACTGGTTAGTGGAGGTATACAGCCTCAGGGCGGTAATTCAAATACTTGAGTTTTAATTTGATTAAATTGGTAAGAAGTTTAGCCCACCATGGTAATGATTATTGTTAATATTACAACACTGACTAAGCAAACTAAGCATACACTGTGTGTATGTGAATGTTCAAATACATATACTATTTGCAAATTCGGTTGCCACTATCTTGCCAAAGCTAATGCAGTCCAACAGTCCTGCTGTGAGTCATACCTCCAAGAAACTTGTGATGTTTTTAATATTCAGTGTATCTTCATTAATATGAACAATATAATGAAATGTTAGGAGCTCATTCTACTTCAGAGTAATTTAACAGCTTCCGAAATGATCATAAAGTTGATTTAAAATCGCTCTAAAACTAAACATTATTACTTAAACTGCATTAAATGTAGCTTTGTATACCTAATTAACTGGTATCTTGAGTATAGATATTGTAACTTAAGTATTTATTCCAGATTTTATAGTTTCCAGGCATCAGAGTTAATGTTAACGTTGAGGATGGATTTTAATTCAGAAAACATGGATATTGGGTGCAGTATGATACTTAAGGCAAAGAACATTAACTAACTGTTGATAATATTTTGTTATTCCTTAGAGAATTGACTTGGACAGTAGATACTCTCATGAGGATTACTAAAAAAAATGAGACAGAACTAGATCTTAAGTTTGATAATAGTTGAATATGCTGTATGTACAGGTATATCCTCCTGATAATACTGTCGCCTTGTTTTTATGACACTGTTTTAAATTCTCTTGCAGGTTCATATGTATGTGGGGTATGCGGGAAGAAGTACAAGTATTATAACTGCTTCCAGACACACGTCAGGGCACACAGAGGTAAGATACCATATATTTTATGTATTTTGTAATAATAACTGTCTCGCTCTGTTTATTCTCTAGACATTTTTGTGGTAATATCAATCACTTCCTGTTTTTGAGTCATTCGTGTTCTGTTTTCACCAGATATTTTATCTTATCTATTTCAATTGTTATGTTAATCCAAGCGATTTTTCTCATTTTTTCCTTCTATAGAATCAGAGGCTATGATCACAGATACTTTACCCCAGACACCCAACAGTGAGTACACTTTTGCAACACAATCGAGTTCATCAACATGGTAGCACAAGCTGTTTATTTCATACTTGGGTCATTTAACAGACTTTATGTCGTTTTGCCAGTTTTTATTGAGGAGATTGAAAGAGTACACCACAATTTAACTAATTTAGCAGCAATAACATGCAACCTCATTTTCCCATTGTAATTCTCATCATTGTAGTCCACATCAACATAGCTGACATCTCTTTGGCAACATCCAACTTTACATCAAACTCTGGCACAGTAATGTCTTGTGTAGACATGTATTGAAAAAAAAGATTTCACCCTTATTTGGTCATGATTTTTATTTGGATGACCCAATTTCAATTCTTACAGTCTTCGCATCTGCACCTTGTTCTGTACATCTGCATTTGATATTACATGTTGACAGCAAATATAAATGTCTTCATGGCGGAAATTGAGTTATTACAATATGCACACAAATCTCATATTAAGATAAAAGTAATGTAGATATGTGGCCGTTTGAACAAGTAATTATTTGGCCCATCAGGAAGTTTTCATCCCTGTGGTTCCCTTGGTAAAAAGGTTGTCGGGTTTAATTGGTTTTTGGATAATTGTAGAAAATAATTTGTGTGGTGAACAAAATTTCATGGTCCTTTCAAAAAATGATCTTTACAAATGAACACTACTTCTTTGATTTTTAAATCCTACATACATCAAAGAAGTAAAAGACCAATATGAACAACCTACACCATGGCTGCAATACTTCGTTCACCATCTTTACATCTCAAACTTGAAATCCAATTTGGCAGCTTACCTGTTCCTCAAAAATAATGCAACTTAGGAATTAAATAATATTTTGGAAGAGTGTGAGTATAAACATAAAGAGGCAGACTAGTTGTGAGTAGATCAGTTGTCCAGTCTGGCCTGATGACTTTTAATATTCCTGATAATCTCCTATATCTCATTTAGCCATTTGTTGGTAACAGCTTTTTATAAAGACATGTTAACACTTTTAGATATGTTTTTGACTGATGTCTGTTGTAATTATTATTTTAAAACATGCACATAAAAAAAAATCTCTTGAGCTATTCAATTGTAGCCCTCTATAAATAATGACTACAGTCTATGTGGACCTGCCACAGTTAACAGGTATGTTGTGACTCAGGATGAAAAACTGATTGTGACCATCTTGTAGCCAATGTAGAGATCACATCACTGAAAGGGATTGACTGAGAAAAGCCTGCACACTTCCTGAGCTCTGTCTGTGTTTGTTGAAGAGATATTATCTCTGGGATGTGAAGCTGTGCAGGTGAACAGTGTGTTGGATTCTTCCTTATTCAGTCTGTCCCCGTCACGGAGCTAACTCTGGCTAACAGCTGTCTGCAGATATCAGGCTGATGTCTTGTCAACACAAATGATGCCGATGACTTAGTGAGCAGACTTTCAGTTTCTCTTCTGTCTGTGCTCAAAGTGATGATCAGTGTTATCTGTACTTAGCTGAAGCATCTGCCACTTACATTTTTCCCAGAATAAATTATGAGAAGCACTTCATGAAGTATTAGTATTTATCTGTTATAACTAAAGCACTGAGAATTTAAATAAACCATATATAAAGCCTGCTGTGAGTATTAGTGTCTGATAAAGTTCCAGTAACGGTTTAGAATTTTTTGAAATTACATCTGCATCTTCTCCCTCTAATAAAATTATCAATAAGTCATTTCCAAGGTTTTCCTATGTTACTGCAGAGTCCATTTTCAGTGCAGACAAAATAATAACGACGTTGACAATATTGCTCATAGCCACAAGTATCTCCCAATATCTTGAACCCAAACCAGGATAAAACTGGATCAAACTACAAAGACGGGACATGTGTCCTTCAACACTCTCAAAGTCAGCTATGTGAGAGCTTCTCTTTGGATCTTTTCTCATGAAAACATTTCTCAGAATTTTGAGATAATCTTGTCAATTCAGAAAAACATTTTCTGCATTTCAACATGCAATGTAGCTTCCAGACTAGTTCTGATGTCACAAAAACACATGAGAGCATAAGGTAAGGATAGAGAACGTTTCCCGCTCAGCAGATGAAAGTAATAACAAACTCTGCACATAAGCCATTCTGCACAGTGAAGGTCAAACATCCAGCCGCAGTAACAATAAGCAAACGCATTTTTGAGGGGAGGGGGATGGGGGGGTGACTTAAAACCGAGCCAATTTAAATTTATGTCCTCATACCAAAACAGTGACACACTGGACCCTCTTTGTCTGACAACAACAGCTCCTCTAATTCAACAGAGGTAAACCTGAAGCTACCCATAAAAATAAATGGCGGCTTGCAGGTATGGAGATGTTGCTCCTTTTTAATGGCATCGTATATCAGCTGCCAGTGCCTGTATTTATCAGACATCTTAAAAATCACTCCCAGAAATCTCTGTGAAAGTTTGATTAGGACTAAAAATACTCTTAACTTCACAGTAGTACTTGAGTTATTTATAAAGCTTCCTACAGCACTCTCAACAATCATTACATGATTTTGTACATCGCTTAAAGGCAGCAGTAACAACATGGCAGAGAGCGGAGGAAGAGCAGTCTTCTTTAGCTATTGAGGAACACAAACACTGTGAAACCGAACGGTCTTTGACAGTGTTAATAAGTAGGACAGGTAGAAAATGCTGATACATTTAATTCTTTGGAGGATTTAACCTGATCTGAAGCATTTTGGTTGATGCCATATATTTTAACTTTATAATGACTACCTTGCCAATTTGAATTTTATAATATGACTTGCAGTCAAAGGGCCCCCTGAAAGGCAAATCATAACCTGCCTTAAGAACAACTAATTTAATATATACAGTCTAAATCATTTAATGATAACTTAAGAGATGTCAGTGATCAAAAGAAGGTTAAAGCTCAAGTTAAAAGCAGAACAGTGAACATATGGCATGAGTCCAGACTTGTGTGTAATGAGCGGTTCCTGTATGTGAAATATCCTGCGCTAAAGGAGAGCAGGTACAGAATAATCATTTTGGCTGTAGTGTTGTGGAGGAGTGCTCAGAGTTGAAGAGAGTATTTTTGGTAGCGAGGCAAGAACAAGCTTTCCGTAGTTCTGACCAAGTGGGTGTTGAGACTAAAAAACAGCTCTACAATTAAAAAAAGATGCAGGGGGTGGTAGAGGTGCTTGGCTTCAGGTACTGAGTAAGACCAGGAAGTCTCATCATCTGATGCACAAAACACAGTTAAACTATATGACAGGAATTTACATCTCTAGAACACTATCACACCGACAGCAGTTTTGTCTTTGTGTTTTAATAGTTGCCAGGTAGCAGAGGAAATACAACAACTTGCAAAATAAATTGTCTAGGACTGTGTGATGCTTGTATTGTGTCTGATCAGTGTGTTGTCTGACCAGATTACACAGCATTACATTGAGGTGAAAGATGAGCCTGGTTCTACTTCTTTGCTGGATGACCCAGTGTTTTATGGGAATCCTGTTGTGACAACAGAGTGGTCCTATTGAAATGAATGTGTGTGTTGTAAATCTGAGAGTCTCACAGTATTGCCTTTTTTAAATGTTTACATTGAACCAAATTTAAAGTGATGGCCCAGTGCACGTTTTTGGAATTAGCTGGAATTAGAGGTGGTATGTTTAACACAACAAAGTCGGCATCATGCAGGCTCTCCCTTTTACACAGCCGCCAATCCAGCTCTGCTGTACTGCACGCTTATTGTTGAAACAATAACTTCTCATTCTGTCTTCATACCTTTTTGTACAGAACAATGAGGTGGAATTAAGATGTTTTCACCTTGAGCAGTGTTTATTTTAAATATTGAAGAAGGATAATCTCACAATTAAAACGGGTATTGCAAAATTGAAAATATAGCGTTGACACACATTTTTCACCTTTGTTAAAATTAAAACTCAATTTGCAAGCATAACCCTGTCATGTTGATTGTGAAATCAATTATAAAATGGCATTTGGATATTTTAGTTTCACTAAATAGGCAGACAGTGTTCCATCTAAATTGTGCTGTCACTTTTGAAGATAAAAAATTTCACACTTTTAATGCTTCAAGGCTTTTTTCCTCAAATCTTTCACTGTCATCCATAAAAACCAGTGGGCAGGACTTAACTCCAGTTGGCTGAATTTTTATAGAAATGCAGCATTCAAAAGGTCATTGAAAGTTTTTATGGCTGTCTACAAGTCAGTGCATGGGAAAAATAGCAGTTAAGTGCATCCACTTACCTGTGCTTGAAACAATCCTGCTCTATGAATTTTATACTGATGAATACCAGGAACTCACTAACTTGTGACCGTAAAGATAGTGTTGTGTTAATTGGTGGGAAAATGAATTACGCATGGTTTTGAAGCCTTGAGGAGTCATAAATGCAATTACATTCAGGCCCCCTAATAATCATTGTCTGTGTGGCCAATTAAACATAAATTGCATGGGCACCAAATTTGTGAAATGAAGAAAGAGGATGTTTTAAATCTACTGTATTAGCTTCTCTGTGCTCCTTGTATCATATTGGGGAAAGCCATACAAGTATTGAAATACATTTTGACAAAGTTTATCTTACTAAGTAAAGTGCCAACAGACTCAAAACTGATCTGTCCAGTGTAGAATAGTTCATAATCTGCTGTAGAAATACCTCAGCAAGTCGGCAAAGAGCGCTGCTGATTGAATTCACTGCAGAAAACTTTGAAGCTGTCGCTCTGCTACTAGATGATAAAACATTTGTCACATGGGTTTGTGAGGTGAGGGGCCTTCAGCTGGGGCAGCACCAGTAAACCCATTCTCATGGAGAGAAGGACAGCCTCTGTCGCTGCCGAGAGGAGCTTAAAAATTGATTCTGTCTTCAACATACTCTGTTGTTTATGCAACAGATTGCACTCAGACAGGATTTCACTGTGGTAAACCAAAAGGCACTTGAGGTGTTAATTGTTGACAGCCACCTGGCAACACAGTGAAATCCACTGTAACAAAATAAACAAGAGCAGAACAAGTCATCTGCATCTCTCTTTCACTCTCTAAGTCTGAGCCATTGATTAGATGTTGATGCACACATTTAAATTTGCATAATTTGGGTGAGAACATTTTAATTCAGCCAACACAATGTCACTGTTTCTTGTAAAGGGATGTTTACAAAAAATCCCCAAGTATACAGTTGTAAATCAACCTTTGTAAACCTGGCAAATAAACCAGGGAGTGTTTTCGTGAACAGAGTAAAGACTCAAAAACAGAAAACTGTGAAACTTAGCACTCGTTGTTTTTACAGGCAACAGTGAGAATCCAGTCACTTAACTCACACCATCTCATTTATTTATTTATTTGTTCTACACATCTTGATTCTCCTGCAGATTTAGTTTTTAGGTTCACTAATGCTGAAATACATAACACAACTAAAATTTTGAAAGTGCTAATATAATCAAATCACATCCTTTGTGTTTTAAAACTTGTTTCTTTGCTCATCTTTGTTTTTTTGATTCAAAATGACTAAGAACACAATTCTGCTCTCTCTGCCCCTGTTGACAAAATGTGCCACCATGAAATACTCCAATGCGAATTTATTGAGATAGAAAACCTTAAAGTCAACATATTATCTGCCGATGAAATAAGACCACTAACTATAATATTATAGCCAGGCTATTTAAAATATTTTAATAGATCAAGGAGTAATTTAACATCTTAAAAGATTTCTCATATACATCTAATGCTTAACTGCATATTCCCATGAGACAGTTAAAATAATAAAAAATGAAAATATTCCTTCCTGGGAAATGTAGTCAAACAATAATGCATTTTAAAAAGAGGGTTTATCATCTCTGATGCTATATTTACAAAGATGTGATAGAACTACATGATTGGGTTGGTATCTGAACAGACGTTGCTGAATGTTTTTACAGTAATCAAAATGACAGAAATGAATAAGAAACTGATGAGTCTCAGAATACACACACATACATTTCATAAATAAAAAAGTATTTAAAGTGCTATAGAATTTTCAAGGTCCCTTGAGTTTAGTTTTCACATTATTTCTTTCTTAGTTCTGAGTTAGTCTGCATTGAATGACCCCTCTGCTTTTCATTGTCAAGGATGTCCATGCTTTGCCAGACTGTGTTAGTCACGTATATAAATGGTGCTCGTCTCTCTCTCTGTGTTAATCTGCAGACAGCTTCCGTTACTCCTGTGACATCTGTGGCAAGAAGTATAAATACTACAGCTGCTTCCAGGAGCACCGTGACCTGCATGCAGTTGATGGTAACAAGAAGTTTTTGGACATTTTGCATGACAGTTTATTTCTTCTTTGAAACTCCCAAGACTTGAACTTGAAATCCATTTATATGTGAACTTCCTTTTTCACTCTGTCCTCTCAAGGCAGAACGAAGCAAAAGTAAAGTGGCTAGGTAAAGAGGACGGGATCAGGAAAAATTGAGCATTTTTTAATTTAAAAAAAACAAAGTCCTCCAAATGAGAATAAAACAGCTGGTCCTTCACAGGTGAAGTGTTATTCAGGCAAACTAGTTCTTACTTCAGTGGAGGTAAACAAAGCCTGCTGTTTTAAATTGAGTATCTCCCCTAATGTATAAGTCAGAGGTAGGAAGGCAGAGAGGGTATAAATATGTAAACTAAAATGGCACTCAGCAGAGCACACTGCCAAGGCCCACCAGTTCCCTCAAATTCAATCAAAGTGTACGCAAAATTTCACATACTCCTAAATATCACTTCAGTACATATTTTTCATCAAGATCCATAAATTATACAATTTAATTCAAAATGGTGAAAATGTTGAAAAATGCCCTAACTCGAATTGTCAAAGAAGGTGGGGAAATGCCAAAAATGAAATGGGTTTTTCCCTGACCCATACCACATCCTTCCACCAATTTCTATGGTAATCCCTCCAGTCGTTTTTGTGTAATCCTGCTAACTGACACGTGGACAAACATGCAAACCAACATGCACACATAACTTTTGGTGGAGGTAGTCAACAGTTGGATGCCTTTGCCATTCTCCATGCTAAGCAGAAATGAAACATTAATACAGGTATATACAGTGGCTACTCAATTTCTTATAGTATGTGTTGTTTTCTGGAAATTAACTGGCTGTAAACTAACAGGTTAACTAAATCTTTCCTATAATGTCTACACAGTTCAATGGGTTCTTGTCAAAAGAATTTAAAGACAAGATACACAACTTTTTTTGTTGTAGCCTTAATGTACCTCATTTGATTTTGTTTCAATTCATCCTGCAAGGAACAAGTAAAATGAAGCAAAGCTTGTGTATATGACCAAAGATGCAAGATGAAATTTTAGCCATCAGTGTGTGTGAGTGATGCTGCCTGAACAGTATATATAACTGAGCCCAAGTCTTCAGTGAGGAACATATTGTCCTTTTGTTTCAGATCCTTATGAGCAGGTAGTGTTACCTGTGGATGGCCTTAAAGATGAGGAGCCAGTTGAACCCTACCAGAAGATTGGACCAAGTAAGACTGTTTGTTTTTGTTCATTTTACAATAGGTTCATTTATTTCTACAGATGCTGGCAAATGGTGACTGGAAGCTTGACTTAGACGGATGTACCATAACAGCACAAGATTAAGAAGCTCACATTAAATACAGTTGTGTCAGAAGGAATTTGCAGCTGCTTTTCACCGCTTTGTGTTGATAAACACTGCAAAAGAAACGACCCAATTGGGATCATTTGTAACACATTATTTGACAGTTATTTGATATTTGATTAAGGTCATATCCTGATGATTATTTAAAAGAAATCTGAGTTAAACCATATGTTAACTTGGCATTGAAACTCCCATTACACATGGACAGCTTGAGTCCACCTGTGTCCAACTGAGTGTTTTGGACACAGTTTGTAATGAAAGCCTTAAGCCGTGGAGATGATCCATGTTTCAAAAAATAACACTAAGCATATGAGCTAACTCCGCACTGGAAAGGTTTCAGAACATGAGTCCAAAAGTCCTCCTTCGCAGGGGAAAAAGCACTCGCCCACCTCTTCAGAGACCGTGGGTTCAATCGACGGCAGCGGGTGTCCCTTCAAACACAATTGGCAGTGTTCGCAGGTGGGAAGCCTGCACTTGTCACTGCACTAATGAATCCTACTGATTGGGGGGAGATAGTGAGAACCTCTACACACTATGCAGGGAGACCACTGTGTTTATTTTATTATTGCTAAATGTATATTTTTAGATGACAATTATCAGTCGGGAAAAGCTCAGGATCACCAGCATTCTTCTCTTTCGCACTCTGTTAGGACTTTTTATTTTCTGCTTCTCCCTCATAAGGCACAATTACCTAAATAATCATCTCCCCTTTTTTTTTTAACACAACTAATCCAACAAATTGAATCTTGATTGATATGACACAGATTTTTTTTCATCAGCACTGATATGAATGAAAACAAAGCATTGTTTGTGTGTTTTCTTGTCTCTAGAAACTGGGAGCTATGTTTGCGAGTTCTGTGGGAAGCAGTACAAGTACTTCAATCCATACCAGGAGCACGTCGCTCTTCACACACCGATGGGTGAGCTGGTTTTGTCAATGCTTAAGCTGCTATGCGAGGGATTAGAACAATTCTTACGCAGAATTTTGAGTCCTTACTTCGGCCATTATTTTTCTTCTGTACATGTATAACCCTTTATACTTATATGTTATGGAGGAATGTTGGTTTTTAATGTCTCACACTATCTCTAAGTAACTCTGAGAACATTTCTTGTTGCAGGGTCCTTTGATATGAAGGCATCCCGGGTACAGGAATGTGGTAGTATAGACATGAGTAAATTTGGCCACAGCCAAGCTGCCAAGATAAAAAGTAAGCAATCATTTTATCTCCTCTCACATTTTTCAGTAAGGTTTGATTGATTGTGTCCTTCCCAAAGTGTTCGTCCCTCATAACTCTTTAGGCTGAACATTTATACTTCAGACACAGACACACTACCAAGATGCACCTTGACAATTTGTGAAGCCCTAGAACAGTAGAAGAAGAATATTTACCTAAGCCTGACTGATGAGGGTTTTTGGGTGCTGATGACAAAACTGACACCGATATATCAGCCAAAGCTCACGACAAAGACATTTATTTTTACATTTACATTTCCACATCTTATCCATTATATTTGCCATTGTTGATGTAGAAGCTGAATGTTTTGTAATTGACTGTAGATGCTGAGATGATAAATTATACAGTTGTTGGAATAAGTCAAGTTTAGCAGATTAATGTTGGTAAAATGACAAAAATAAAACTCAGTTTGATTAGAAACCAAACACCTGCCTGCCTGATCTGCTGAAAAACAGCAGAGTGACTCACGAGTACAGCAGCAGTCATGATATTGCCAGACCTGAGTTTGAGGGCACAATAATATCAGCCCTGCTGTGAGAGCACATTGAAAATGGACCACACAATGGTTTAAGTATGTTGTACTGAGCCAGAAAATAAGGATGTAAGTGGACCTTCAGAGATTTGAGAAGTTCTGGGTCACATTGGCCTTCACCGTATTCCTGGAAAACTAATAACCTTAAGTGAATAATTTTTTCCTTTTTATGATTGATTTTTTTCCTATTGCCTTAAGCACCTACCCACATGAAAATTGTTTAAAAAATTACATTTAATACAGGTGACATCTTAATTTGTATTTTTTTACAGAATGTTTGTCACTTTAAACCTATTTTCTTATTTCTAGTCAACTTAGAAATGAATTTAATACATTAATACAATAATGTGAAATTATCATTTTTATATATTTCTTTTCGTCAATTGTCAATAATGCAGGCAGTTTTAGATAACAGTTTGCCAAATCCGTTTTTTTCCAGTTGTCACAAATCACTGATTCTTCTCTCTACCGGTTCTGTATTTTGTGGCACATGAATCCCCCCAATCTCTCTGCGAAGAAGCTCTCTGCCATAAAGAACTATTTAAAGCATCGCACACACTCACATCTTAGAAGTGGGTCAATAAGATGGAATGAAGAAGCAGAATTAAACCCATATTTAAATGTAATATGAACATTTGGATCCTTTGTCAAGCCTGTTAGTGTGATTGATTTGCATGCTAAACTAAAATTAAGTGTAAATTGCATGTCATTGACTTGGCTCCATCGTAACTGATGTGTAGTTAATAACTTGAATTAAAAAATGCTATCCACATTATTTAGCATGGCCATGTCCCTCATTGTTTCTGCTGTGTTTTCACCAACAGACAGTCCATTCAGGCGGAAACTGGAGAGTGCGATTCAGTCGAGTCTGGTCGACACAAACAGCTCGCAGAATTCAAGCGGTGAGCACTGAGCCACTTAAGCAGCTTTCAGACATGCACTGAACTCTGCAGATCCTCTGTATTTTCTCCAGAGGAGGTGCATGTGTGAACGCAATTGTCTGAGTAAGACCGCCTGGCCTCCTAGTATAATGTCCGTAGATATCCAGGAGAATCCGCTTTGTTCACTGTGAGCGAGTGGGGGGGTTGATGATGCTTCTAACTCGTGACAGACGCAAAAATTAATGAAATAAACAAAAAGTAAACAAATATCTCCCGGTGAAAAAGCGGTGTCATTCATATAGAATATACAAACTAATATGCAGGAATGTGTAAATGTTGGCGTTTTGCAACTGTTGCTCTGCCTGAAAATTGAGATCAAGTGGGAATAGAGGATGTATGTAGAGGTTTGCTTGACCTACCTTGCATCTGTTTAGAACACAGGTCCAAGAGCTCTGTTATCATTATTATCCTACTCTTCATTCACACATGAAGATGGTGACATTGTTGAACACACATTATGCATCACCTTTAACTCTGACAACTGCTTTTCTCTCTGGTTTAGAGTCCGTTGCATTAAATTAGAAGAAAGTGAAGTTACTTGTTTCTGTACGTCAATCTCCAATATTAAAATAGAAATCTGATGAGATCAACTCACACCCACGGTTTTCAAAACCCTGGTTGCAGTCGTCAGAAAAGGCAAGATAAATATTTAATTAAAATAAACAGGCTCACAGGCAGTTGGCAGGTGAGTAGGCTGGCAAAAATACTCATGAGATCTAAGACACTCAACTCTGGCAGCAAAACAGCCAAAAACTAATAGAAGAATTCTCCACAAAAGGAAATTAAAAGTCCAACCAAAAAATCAGAAGAAAGCCAAATGCAGGTTAAAAAAAAGGCTAAAATCATTCAATTTGTACCTGTAATATAATGACATTAAATTTACATTCACTCATTTAGCAGACACGTTTATCCAAAATGACTTTCAGTTATACAAACTACACAGTTTACATCACCAACAACCACTGATCAAAGTTTCTGTATCACAGAGATGTAAAGCAGATGCTCTTTGATTGTAAATCAGCCTTGCATAAGTACATGTTAAATATACTGAATTATTATTGGAAAGAGCAGTAGAGAGAGGCTCCATGTGACACTCTTCTTTGCTCTGTCTTCTTGTCTGCAGGAACCCCGAGCCCTCTGGTGGCCACATCCTTCTCTACAACACCGAGTAAGTCCCACCCCACCTTCCTGCTCAAAACGACATACGCATGCTGCACTCCTTCTCATTTCACCTTTTTTCCTGGTATGCTTTAGTTTTTGTTAACCTGTCATTGTTTTGCACAAATAGTTTTCTCTGTGATCCACTGTGGTAATACAGATGTTTTACATTTAGCTACATTACCACCATTAGTGTCATGGTACATCTGGATTATGTTCAGACACACAGTAGATTTTGTCTTGTGCTGACCGACAGCTAAGCATTCGCTGGATAAGCAGTTTTAAATTCTTTAAATGCTTCAATTTTAAGATGTAAACATTCTTGCATTTATTAGATATGATATAGTAGAGAAAAGACAGTAAATGAAGGGACGGGTGTTGGAGGTGGTTTACATCCAAAACAGGTCTCCAACCAAATTCAAACTTTGGACATCAAACGCAAAATATGGGATTTAGATTTGGGCTTAAAAACAACCTACCTCATCTTGTTTGGACTGACTCTCAGAGCTGCTCCCTATGGCAGAGATCCAGTATAGATCAGGGATAACAGAGGCTAGTAGGTGGACAGACGCGCAGTATTTTTTACTTTTGCCTCCAACCAAGAGTCAACACTCTTCTGGACCTTGTGATTTTTTAGAACCCTACACTTGTGGTGCCTGTGGCATCCAGTTCCAGTTCTACAACAACCTGCTGGAGCACATGCAGTCCCATGCTGGTGAGTCCATGACTACAAATGCATGTTAAGCTCGACAGGGAGATGAATGCAGAATGTGAACATACCCTCAGAGGCTGCAATGCATGTGAAAGTCTGTACAATTACACGTAATCCTTTTATTGTTTACTGAGGCTTTGTTCATAGAACTGTTGTACACAATACAACATTTGTATAGTTCCATTGAATACATCAATGAGTAATGAGGGTTGTTGCAGATCTGGATCTGAGGCTGCAGGATACGTTTTTTGTTTAGTGCATCATACATCGCCATTCAAACATTCAGAAAACACTTAGTTATGTGTTATATGAACTAATTCACTAGTATTGAGAATGTCAAAAATAAAGACCATCTCCAATGTCAAACAATCACAGCTGAAAGTCATGACAAAAAGTACCAGTGCACTAAAATAAGATCAAATACTAATGTTATAGTGATATGATAAATATTTAACAAGCTGTAACTATGTTTGGTATTTTTACTGGATAAATTATTGTTGTGTGGTTTGTTTACCTGTTTATATGAATTATGTTGCCTTTCTGTTATCTGGACACTTTTAAAATACTCTTGTCAAGGAAAACAGAATATACTACACTATTTTTACACTAGATGATGGTATAATTGATGTGAGTTTGACTTCATTTAATAAAAAGAAAAGCTACTGATCTTGTTTGAGAATTGACTGAGAAAAAAATAGATTAAATTGAAAGATTGAATTGAAAATATTTACTATCTACTTCTAAAGCGTAATTTGTCCATGAAATATTCAGGGAGGCCGACTTTCTACTCAGACTTTCTCTGTCTCCTTTTTTGATTTTTCTGTCATGATTTTATCCTTTACTTTTTTCATGTATCTCATTTATTCTCCATTGAATTTGTACAATATCATCGCCTGTGCTCGATCTTGCTCCTCTGTGTCTCCTCAGCTGACAATGAGAACCACACCAAAGGGGAGTCTCCCAAAACCTCCTCAGCCACGGGTCCTCAGGAGCAGCTGTGGAGAGGTTCTCAGGCTCCGGCCCATTCCTCAGTTAAACTACAAATCCAGCCTCAGAGTATTTCCCAGAGAAACCACACACTCAGCCGTAAGTTCTGCCATCAACCATATTTATTGCAGGCTTTTTAGTTATTGTTTATATAGAGATATGAAAAGGTGTGAACTCCTTGCGATTCTTCGAATACTTTGTTATTATGGTGCCTTGGTGGTGAAGAGATTTACCATATAGGTAATTCTTTTTTTCCTGTCTGTATATCTATTGTATCTGTATAATATATGTGGAAAACTTTATTGCTATATTTCTCTGATATTTAGGTTATTTTTCATTTATACCGTACCAGAAGGTAAACCTCTGTCTCAAGTGAATATAATTCAAAACATCTTAAGTATAAACTCCATACCAGGGGTGAGGAAACTCTTTCTTATCAAGGGCCTCTTTAGTTTTTATAGCATCTTTCGAGCGCCACATTAAAGTATTGAACACATATATCATGATAACCTCTAACGCGATGGCTGCAACTGCTTCTCTTTGGCGAGGCATCTGATGTCAGATGATAGTGATGAAGATGCTACTGGTGGTGAGCAGCTTAAACGACTTCTCACCTCAACAAATGCTCACCTTTGGCGGTGCCATGCAGACCTTACAATGAAAGCAATTCCTCTCCTGTATCTTGCTCTGCAGTAATCCCACACACACAGATGGTGATTTGGGCAGAGAGAAAAACTTACATATCTTGCAGTGTTCTTCTGTGCTTTTTCTCTTTCCATGTTAATACCTCAAAATTTTCTGACAGTGTTTTCTGTCAATGTATCAAATTATAGTTACCATCCAACTAATTATCTGTCTTGTGTTTTACTGTTTTCTTATCATCCATCTGCTGTACCGCAGAAAATAATGGACTACCTGAGAAGGAGCGACAGCAGGTGGCTGAGCGTCTTTTACGGGTAATGTGTTCAGATCTGAGCATGCTAAACGTGCTTAACAGCAAGGACTTCCTGAAGTTGGCACAAACCTTCGTGGATACTGGTGCTCGTCATGGTGCCTACTCTACCCGTGATGCTCTTGGCAACATGAGTGCCTTGGCACTGCGTCAGCTGCCCCGCATGTACAACCAAGTCAAAGTCAAGGTCACGTGTGCTCTAGGCTCAAACTCCTCACTTGGCATCGCCGTCACCTGCCACGCCCAGACATCTGGACCAGATGCTTGCTTTGTTCTCACAGCCTACCAGGTGGAGGGGTCGAGACTGAAGCGCTATGTGCTTGGCGTAAGGGAGGCTGAGCTTAGGGAGGGACCTGAGCAGATTCACCACTGGGTCCAGAATGTGCTCTCAGAGTTTGTCATGTCAGACATTCGCACTGTGTATGTCTCGGAGCCCCGGGTGTGGGCGGCAGGATTTGCTGGATCACCTCTGGGAGGCGGTGGCCGGGGGAGGATATGCTTGCGATGCGCTGGGTGTTCACTCGGTGCTGTTGTCCAGGCTGTCCTCGGGAAGCGCAGTCTCCAGGCTCGAGGTCTGAATGAGTTGGCCGAACTTCTCTCAACTTGCAGAGATATCGCCTCCTCCACCACACTGTCTCTCCGTGAGGAACAGTGCACCAACACATCCACAAGCACAGCTGATGAAGGTTCACAGGGCAGCCCCGCACAGTGCCCCACTCCTCCTTGCTGGGATCGCATGGCTGAAGCTCTTCTGCAGGTCCATGCCCACTTTGAACAGATCTGTGAGGCTTATGGACGCAGCAAGTCCACGGCTCCACTGCTCCAAGGTCTCAACAAGCATCTGCTCGGCACGCTGGCTTGTCTCTTGGCACCTCTGCGCCTGGCAGCTCTGGAGCTGAGCAGCCAGAGGAGACCAACCTTACAGCAGGTGCTGCCTGTCTACCTTCGCTTGGAGAAGTTTTTCACATCTAAAGCAGGGGAGGCTGGAACTGGCACGGCTAGCAAACTCTGCCACTACTTCCTAGAAGCACTGAAGGAAAACTTTAAGGTACTGAACTGGTATTGCTTTTGCATAAGTTTGTAAAATGCTATAATTATTATGCTATAAAAAGGAAATTGTGCAAGCTGGGTTCTGTTTATTACAGTTATATTTAAAGTCATTACCCTTCAAAACCTTGTTTTTATTTTAACATACAGAAGCCAACGTTGTGAATTATGATATGCAGGGATTTTTAATTGAAAATAAGTAAACATGATTACAAATGTACTTTCCCCTTACTAGAGCTGAGTGCTCAGTGATTGCAATGACCTTCAAGCACCAAAAGCTGACACAAATTGTCATGTCATATTTGTAATCATGTTTTTTGCATTTCAAGTACACAGCTCTAGTAAGGGGGAAATACATGTGAATAATTGGTTTTATGAAGGACTGCGAGTCACTAAATAGTTTCTTTGTCTCCAGGTTGAACGCGCTCACCAGGTCGCCATGATCCTGGACCCACAAATCAAGCTACGTTCAGTGCCAGCCTACCAGCATGAAGACATCATTTCCCGTGCATGTGAAATGGCTACTGAAACCAGGGATGGAGGTATGACAGGTGGTGGAGGTTCGGGTGGTGAAGATCGAGACACTGATGGCCCACCAACCCCTAAAATAAGCCGCGTAGAGGGAAGTGGAAGCAATGGCGGCACTTCAAGGAGGACACCCTCATGCACGGTGTCTGGTAGCGATGAGAGTCAGAGCCAAGTTAGACAAGAGATTTTTCAGTACCTGGCTGAGCCTCTTCTCCAAGGCACACCTGATCTCCTCCAGTACTGGAGCTCTGCAGTGGGCGACAAGTTTCCCAGACTCGCTCGCCTGGCACTGTGGCTCCTCGCCGTTCCTGCCGTGGGCATACGGGGCGAGTGTGTGACTGTGTGTGAGCAGAGCCTGGCCATGAAGAGGAGGCAGCAGGTAACCACTGAGGAAATGAACAAACTCATTTTCCTTCGCTCCAACATGGGCTAGAAGAGAAAACCCAACCTACCCTTATCAACCAAACGTTCACCTCCAACAAATGACTCAAGACTATTATTTATATACTGTAGGTTTAGACCAACTGTAAACTTCAATGTGTATGGACATTAAATACAGATATTTACAGGAAAACTCACATTGTATAGGTCGCACACACCCATAAAGCAGCATATTACATATTTTATATGGAGAAAGGACTGTTGAAAAGTACTGTGGAGAAAATGTAGGGGTGGAACGTTCACTCTCAAAAGATCGTCCCGTTTGGTACGCCTTCCTCGGTTTGGGATGCACATGTCAGCAGGATGAGTTTTGGTTTTCTCTTGGCCAGTAAATTTAATTACTCCAGCCTAACAACTTAACTGCTACGAGGCTATGATGCTGTTATTCTCACTGGATGGCAACATTTTCAGGTAAAATCTACTCGCTGCTTGAAGCTGCTGTCATAGACCTCTGAAAACACAATCAATCATCAAAGACGTTAGCAGTAAGTACTGTAGCATGTACAGTATGTTGTATAGTAATTGTTTTCATTGGTGTATGACAAAAAAATCAAGTGGTGAATCTTCACTGCCATTGTATCTCTGAGACTTGTACCAGGTTTATGATTTACTGTTATGTACCACTGGCAGTGATATGTTTTAGCCACAGGAGATCTGAGCTAAATCATGACAGCTAATTTGGTGTTTGCACCAGTGGTCTCTACATGTAGCTGCAGATCATTTACATGCACTGCACATTTCATCCAGAAGGGTAAAAAAAAAAATTCCAGCTGAATAAACAGGAATTCTGATATGAAGCCTTCCTCCTTGTTTATGATACTTACAGTGAGGAAGTCATGAAATGGTTTGACTTCTTTCTAAAATTCGATGAGGTAAAACCCTCACACCAGGGACACACTGTCCGTGTGAGTCCAGCTGCTCTTCTAGAAAGTCGGGGTCACACCTATTTTCTCCCTGTGTGATCAGACGCAGCCCTCGGTGTGGCCCAGGCTGGAAGCAGAAGTCAAACTGACAGACCTCCAGTAGTTAACGTGTGCTCATGACACAGAGAGGGCAGCATTGTATCAGAATCTTTTTGTGGTGCATTTACACTGATTTCATTCAGCCTTACTATTATTACCTATTACTATTAAAGAAATGTACTGACTACATAAATCTTATATAACTCTTTTAATACTTGATGGTACAACCCAGCCTGCATGTCAGTAAATACACAGAAATAACATGTTGATGACATTTTGTCTCTTTTGATGATATTTTCCAGTCAGTTCTGTGAAAAGACACTTACAGCTGTGTCTTTAAGTTGCATTTAAACACCTCAGTCTGCATTAGCCATCAGTTCAAGCTTGTAGACAAGTGGTCGACCACTGTGTATGTCTAGTTGTGTATTTGTTTTCAAAGCTTAATTAGAAAACACTTTCACAAAAAGATAGCTACTTTATTTATTATCCTTTCCTCATTCTTCACGAGAATATAAACATCGTCTTCCTTACGTGAGCTACACATTTCCATTTTTTTAAGGCAATAAGTTTTATCATAGGGCAGAGTTTCTGACTTTCTCTATTGAAATTGACTTTTGTCACGATGCTCCCACGGTTTATTATTATTAACAGTATATATTATTTTTCTCTTTGTGAAATCAACAGGATTTTCTCAGGAATGAGTGCACCCAAGCAGGCACCGCCACTTTTTCCTCACTGAACCTAAAAAATGTCCTCACTGAACCTAAAACACACCAAACTGTGACCTCAATGCCGAGGCATGTACTGAACCGTGACTTTCTGCGAAACGTTCCACCCCGAATGCAGTTAGTGCCATTTGCAACAAACGCAAAAGAAAAAAAAAAGGATCTGTTTATGAGAATCTTATTTCTTTCAGGACGAAACACATTCTGACAGTACATTCATTAAAGTCACCACATGCATACTAATGAAGTCAAGTTATTTATTTTTTTATGGATTCTAGAATACATTTACACGAGCTAATACCTCCTAAAAATGACTTGGATGAATGGAAGTTATACTGTAACGTGTGTTTGTTGCCTCTGGTACTAATCAAGTCAAATACTATTGTCATTTATGTTTTTTGGGCCTTAAGTCTCTTTTCATGTGATCACCTTGAATCCCTCGAGTCAGAGCCAACTTCATGCCTTGATATTGCTGTTCAATGGCCTTCTTTTCACCATGTTTTCTAAAGCTTGTAGTTTTGTTTTACACTCCTGTAGACGTCTTCTGGCTGATTGGAGGAAACAATGTCCTCTGGTGGTCAAATGTGGACTTTTTAAAAAAATCGTGGGTAACTGTGGTATTTGAAAAGTGCTTTGTTCCAGTGTTCCCAAGTTTTAAAAACCAACAGAGCATGTATGCTTTTACTACAACCTCAGTTAATAATACAGGTCATCAGGTCATGAATCATTTCAACATGAACACACCCAAGCACAAGTATCTACTGTTAAAACGTGTAATGAAATAACTCAGTGTAAGTCACATTTGCAGGTCTACACCACAATATTTTTATTTCGTTTATTTTTTGCAGAAGCTTTATCATTTACTCTCCGTTTAAATCAAAGATCATTGATAGTCCCACATAAAACTACAGTGAGATGCGAATGGTTTAAAAAAAAGCCAGGGACAGATCGGCTTCACTTTCAAATCTTTTTTTAATCCACATAAATACAACTGTGGGTTTATATTTACTTTTATATGATTTGAAATTCTAATTTTAATTAGAAATGCATACAAGGTTAAATGATATTAAACCATCAGTAGTGAATGGCTCTGCATTGCACACATTTTCACATGTTTTCTAATAGACTGTACTGTAGCCTCCCTTTACCTCTGTTCACAACTTTAGTGTTTGATAAATCCTTTTCTCTCTTGAATTTTTATTTTGAAGTGTCAGATTTTTCTCACTTGCATTTTTGGTTCTCAAAAAGATTGAATTATTATGTCAGGGTTGATTTTGATTATCTAACATCTGGGTTGATTTTGATTGTCTAACATTTTGACACAGTGTATCTGTTTTTCCTCTGGTTCTGTGAGACGTGGGGAGCAGCGTTTGATTCCCTGTGACCCAGACATGCATCATTTCCAAAATCAATATGTATCCTGCTGTTTTCAGTCTGATTTATGTCACACGTTTATATTTTGGTAGTAAAACAAACACTTGCTGT